GAAAGAAAGAATAATGGTTTGAAAGAGTTTTGTAATGCCTTTACAAAAGGCATTAACAGAAGAAAAACCCACACTGAAAAGACTGCACTGTTGCTCAGTTCCCCCAGTACTCACTCAGCCCAGATGTAGTCGGTGAGGCAGTCACTGGGCTATGACACTGCAAGCATTCTTCTCCACTGCAGCTGAAAGAGCAAATCAGAGAGGTGAGCGTGCATGAAACGAAACACCAGCCATTTGCAACAATCCTAGGTAACAGACAAACTCAAGATGAGCCTGCAAAGCAGAGCAATGCAGTGGGACTAGTGACTTTGCATTCGCAGCGGGCTGATGCCTACACGGAGGAGGCCAGAGTGGCAGAGGGGAAGACCCAACTGGCCCAGACAGGCAGAACGTTGTAAAGTTTTGTAAAGATAGACAGAACCTTTGAAAAAATTATCCCACCCACCCACCCCCATCCCCGTGGGGCTTGTGTCCGCTGTGTCTCCGACTCAGTGGAGGGGCATACAGAGAAAAAAATCTCACCTGCTGCAAGGCTTGCAAACATTATTAAGTGTTAGGAAGAATCGAGGCTTACACCGGCAAATCGTGTCTCTGTTCTTTGAACCTGCAGAGAAAAGAAGAAACAGTTGCCATAATCTGGATAGAGAAGAAAACAAAAGCAGAAAAATCCACTCCAAGGCAAGTGGGAGATTATCCCTCTTTGAGCCTGGAGAACTGCTACTGAACAAGAGAAAGAGGATTTGTCTATGTCTGAGGACAGGGTTGGGGGAGGATAAAAACAATAAACAACTCGGAGTACCACCGTCCTGGTAGGTCAGGGTGTACCTCTACAGAGGTGTCACCTCTGTAGAGGTTTGGAAAAGGACTAAAATTATAGTGTAGCTGAAACTGGTCTAATGGATAATGACAGTTCCAGGGCAAAAGTGGGGGAAGTCACTCAAGTTCAAGCATGATAGGAAGGGGAAATCACCATAGTCAGGCAAAGATGAGAGAGAAGTGGTGCCTGGGCAGCTGGGACTCGTGAGGAAGTGAGTCAGGGTAGGGAGAAATCCCTTCAAGCCTTGGGACACATATCCACTCTTGTGATCTGCTATGCTGCGAGTGGAAGGGGTAAGAATGGAAAGAGCCATCGCTTCTAAGCAAGTCACAGTATGGAGACAGAGTGAAACAGGAGCAGACAAGAATAGTGATGGAAGGACACAAAGTTGCATGAGGGGGCAGTAAAAGGTACTAGAACAAACAACATGCATTCTGCGGCTCACCTGCGACAGGACTAAAACAGGACAGGACTAAACTACATCGGCCACGAGGGAAGGAAGTTGCTCAAGGGCAGCATACGATTACGACCCTTGAGGACAGGCTAAGTGTGGAAACCGTGACAGCAAGATTACTGAGCACCAGGAGGAATGTGAATGCAGGGAGACAGCAGAGATGGGAAAGGGATTAGGAGAAGCAGAATTTGCTAAGAGGAGGGGATAGCTTCAGGACACCAAGGCAAGGAACATTTAGAGGACACGAACAGAATTAGACTACAGCACAAACTGGAGAGCAGCAAGCAGTCAAGATCCCCAATTCCTGACTGGAGATAAGGTAGCTTGGAACAGGTAACATGGGCACTTCTTCCAGACACCTGCACCATCTCATGGTCATTCCCATTTTTCAGCACTACCTGAGCAGCTCTTTAGTTTAAAACGCTGCACAGTACGCTGTGGTGGTTCAGCAACTGACTGACAAGCAGTGCAGCTGGGCACTGGGACCCGTGGTATTTTCAGCCATTGTACTCAAAGTGCTTCCAGCAGTTGGTGAGGGAAATGCAATGAGCACCAGGGGGAATATCCACACCAGGACAAAAAAGAAAGGTAAGGGGGAAATCTGCTGTAGAGCATAAAGACCTTGCTTCAGTACATGCAAGGCAGAGATACCAAAATTCAGTAGAAAATATCTCCTCACAACAGCCAACACTTCAAAACTATTTAAGGACAAAAGGAAGATAGAAACTGGGATAGAAAACAAGGATTGCTGCAAAGGCAGGCAAAAAATGGCAGCCTTTCTCGGGAAAGAGGGCAGGCAAAACTAAAAGTTGTTCCAAAACTATAAACTTCAGGGCAAGGCGCTGCAGCGTGTCAGAAAGTGAATAAAGAGCTGCTAAAGTCTACCCTAGTACAGTATGTCCATACTGGAGCCATATCCATGCCATACTCACAGTTGTCAATAATCCCATTGACACAGGAGCTGCAATTCCTACACTGGAAGAAATCGGACACGCCAACCTGATATTGATTCTTCCGACAGCCACATACGGTATCTTGCTTCGGGCTGCAGGGTGTCTCTACTATCTGCTGGAATTCTGAGGGAAGGAAAAGCAATTATTCCAACTTCTTCCCCCACCTGCGGCTGAGAGCACCTTTATGAGGACAAGCATTGTTATCTCTTAATCTTCCCACGGAAAGGCCAACAAGGCCTGCAAACTGAGTCTCAGACTGTAGTAAATGTCCTCAGTCCCTTCGCATACACTGTCCTTCTTCCCACTCAATTGCTCACTTTTCCAAGCTTCATCACACACGTTGCCACGCCCACCCCCAGCCTCCCACCTGCCATTACCAGACATTTCCTCCTGCTGTGTAGGTTACTCACCTGTACGGCAGCGTGTACACTGGAAGCATTTAGACATGGTGTTATCAACAGCTGTGAATGTGCCATTGGCACACGGAAGACAGATAGGTGCCTGGTCAGGCCGATCACAGTCTTTTGCCTTGTAGGTACCTGCAAGAAAAATCACTTAAGAGAGCTCTGACAGGAAAGCAAATGCATTGTCTTAGGTAGGATGGGGGTCACTGATTCCTCAGAGAAACCCTGGAGTTGACGGCATAAGGATTGAATATGCTTCCTCTCACCAGTGTGAGGGACACTGACAGCCCAAAAGAAGAGACAAGGGATAAGAATTCATCTGTGTAGGAATAGGTACCAAGGAAAGAGAGCACTGATGTGGCTGTAGGACACAGGTGGTTTGAGAGTGCTGGACAGGGAAATGCCTCTAATGTGAATATCACTATTACTGTACTTATTTTACATACCTGCATGGCACCTCATGCAGCAGTGGGTCTCCCTGGGATGTAGGTATTGTCCTAGTTGGCACTGCACCTGCCTCTTTTCTCTCCTCAAGGGGTTAGAGGGATCTCTTCCAACCACAGCTACACGATGGACTTGCAGTGTATATGGCACTGGAGCAATTTCTACAGAATCCTTTGTCAACACACAGACAAATGTTAGGATAACCTGTAAATACAGAGGGAGAGGGAAAGAAAAAGGAAGAACAACAAGGTGAGAAAACATCCTATCCCCTGGCAGACTGCACAGCTGACTTCAGCACTTAGAATGAAATCTTGAGTAAGTTCAATTGACTTGACAGATTCTGCTATCAGGACCCTCCACTGACAAAATTACGTGGGCAGATTATTTAACAAAAAAGAAAACCAACCCACAAACCCATGCCTGTCATCTGTGTTATTAATATGCCACACAACGGCCTCTACGACCAACTGCTTGTGTATAAAGTAAACGCTTCTTGTGATGTGCAATTTATAAACAGAATGCCTTGAAAATGCTGCAGCTTGCAAGAAAGTTACTCAAGAGCAAAGGAATGTTTTCATTAAGGAAGGCAGGAAGTCTGCCCATCTAGGAACAGCTCCAGAGAGAAGGCGGCATCCAGTACTTGCAGTTCTACTACTGAACAAATAAACCATGTGGGAAGTTTGGAAGAAGGCGGCAGAGGAGGATCTCACTGCATGCAAAGTACAGAAAAGCTTCCAAAACTCCTCCTGAGCAAGCAACCGTAAAAATGTGGGAAAGTCAGGTTTTCGATTTCTCCCCCATCAAATGTACATTTTTCCTCAAACTGCAGCTGTTAACATTCAGTCTGAACAGTCTGCTACAAAAAACATGTACTTTTTTTAAAAATTCCTTTAATATTTACTTGCTATTTTTCATTTTGAAGATGACTTGTTAAGAATTTTAACAGAAAAGAATGGTTGGCATGACTAGAGTATGACTCTGTGTATCTCCATACTTGGGAGGGAACAGCAGAAGAAAGGGTTAAAGAACAGCCTGTAGCAATAATGACGGACCCCATTCCCTGGACATTGTTTTCAGGACACTATTCCCAGCAATGAAATTGAGAAATTTTCTGTTTATGTCATGGCCAAAAGGTCTACGCTCTGGTGAGACTACAGCACAGATGACTCATCAGCAAAAGACCCTGCACCAGGAGGATGGTAAGGAGACTGCAGCAGATCACAGACACGATTCCTCTGCCTGTTGCCCCCACAGGCGAACAGACCCTAGGCATGCATTTCAAGCATGCACTCAGACAAGGCAAAAACAAAACTGATGGACCCTGAAGTCAGCAAGTGTCCACAGCAAAGGCACATCCCCTACCAGCTGATGACTCCTGAAGGGTATGAAGGACTTGCCCAAAAACTAGTTTGTAGATCCATGAAGAACCCCAACAGCACGACGAAGACCCAACAGCCAATATCGCTTGTCGTCTGCGTTGCACACAAGCGATCCTGGCCTCACCATCTGGACATACATGTGTTGGTGCTTCCATGTATGTCGCGGAGAGCGCGAGCCAGTGTAGTCTGTGCATCAGATTATGTGAATGCATGAAAATCAACTCCTTTTTTTGCAAATAAATACCATCCTGGCCCAGGGTTTTACTACACTAACTGCCCTACACTGCAATGGGAATTTTCCAGTTAATTTTCCCAGCTTGCTTTTTTGAAAGGGTAAGATGTCTAGCTTTACAGGCACAGCTTCAGAGCTCCGTTTCTTTTTGCCTTTTCAGCTAGGAGAGTTAGAGCAGAAGAGCAAAGCAATAAGGGTAAACCACAATGCTGATACCAATTTTGCGGTTCCAAACTTAAGAAAGGAGAGGCAAAATAGATGGCTATGACAGCCCCATGCTGTCCTGTTTCTCCCTCAGAATTAAAGCCTTGAGGGAGAAAGGTACATATATGAAAACAACTTAAAACCTCAAGGAGGATAGGACTTTGCAACTCTGACAAAGCAAAAACCCCATTTCTCAGAGAGCTCTGTCATACAAAGACATATTAAATAGACCAGATGTTAAAGTGGTGAACAGGAAAAAGAGAACCACATATTCAAATAGTTGTCATTTCAGACTTAATTAGCTGACCACAGGATAAATGTGAGCACTCCAACAACAACCCAGCAAGAAATAAAACTCATTGCAGCAGCTGATAGTCTTACGAGATCACTTGCAGGAAAATGGGTAAAAGATCATTCACACAGATGGTCTGACAGCAACAATAAGAAATTCTTGATTCTCTAGCCAATGATTAATTCTCTGACATGGGAATATATACAGCTAGCCGTAAGTCAAACAAGTCAGCAACAGAAACAACAAAGGAAAGCATCGAAGCTCAAGCCAAAAACACACAAAAATTAGTCAGATACACCTTCAGAAACAAAGGAAAACAGGAAAGGTATTTTCATTTTTCAGATTAAGTGAAAGCGTGTCTATGAGTGTAATCAAACCAGAGTTAACACATTATTACTGATCAAAATCTGAGGAACAGAGTCACAGACCACAAAAGTGATTCACAAACACGTGACTCAGCCTTCCAGAAAAATCATTCAGATGGGAAAAAAAAAAACCAACACACACCATCTTAATCAGCTCCCCAAGCCAGTCAGCAGTATACTGATTTATACCAATGACAGACTTCATAAAACTCAAGAAACACATGAGGAATAGAATAGAATAGAACAGACTAGAATAGAATAGAAAATAGAATTTTCAGTTGGAAGAGACAATGATGGTCGAGTCCAACTGCCTGACCAATTCAGAGCTGATCAAAAAAGCACGTTGAAGCATTACAGTGAAACAGTAAATGTTTAATTAAAGTTAATTAGATTTAAAGCATTTTCCAAATGCGTCTCAAACGCCGACAAGCTTAGGACACTGACCACCTCTCTAAGAAGTTCCAGTGTTTGACCACCCTCAT